CGAACTCATCATAGAGTGCATATCTTCAGCCTCTTTCAATGTCTTATGGAATGGGAGCCACACTTCAGATTTCCAACCATCCAGAGGCATTAGGCAGGGAGGCCCTCTGTCCCTGTATCTATTTGTGTTGTGTATCGAGAGGCTGGCTCACCTTATTGCTGAGGTAGCGACCACAGGAAAATGGAAACCCATTGTCCTTAGGAGAGGTGGACCTCAACTGTCTCACTTTTTCTTCGCATACGACTTGTTTCTCTTTGCATAAGCAAGCATGGAACAAGCATATATCATCTCTCAGGTCCTTCATTGTTTCTGCAAGACATCTGGTCAGAAGGTCAACAAGGAGAAATCAAGAGTATTCTTCTCCAAGAATGTCCATAACTCCAGGGAAGAGGAAATTACTAGCACCATGGGTTTCTCTAGGACTGCTGACCTAGGGAAATACTTGGGGATCCCCTTATTGCACAGTAGAGTTACCCCAACGACCTTCAGTTACATTCTTCAAAGAATAGATAGCAAACTCAGCAGTTGGAAGAAGACGACCCTTTCCTTGGCTGACCGCACAACTCTGGCCCAATCTGTTCTTGCCACCATTCTCATTTACTCTACGCAGACTTGCATCCTTACTGCTAAGACTTGTGCCGAGATCGAGAAGAAGCTACGCGATTTTATTTGGGGTTCTACTTCAGAGAATATACGCCTCCATGGAACTGCATGGAACAACGTTTGTCGCTACAAGAGCTCGAGGGGGGGGCAGGGTATCAAACGTGTTCGTGAGTTGAGTACCCCTTTCATTGTCAAGTTGGGGCATGGTATCCTTTCGCAGAGAGATTCCCTTTGGGTTAGGGTGCTAAGAAACAAGTACTGTTTGGGGGATGAGTGGATGCCACAACCTTTTCAACAAAAGAACTCTTCACCTCTGTGGAAAGGGATTCGTAAGTCCTGGCATCTGATAATAGCTGTCTCCAGGATTCAATTTGGAGATGGAAAGAATACTAGCTTCTGGGTTGACAACTGGGTTCCCAATTGTGATACTCTGATCACTCACTGCACCATGACTATTCCCACCGTAAACCAGTCTTTGATTGTTAGTGATTTGGTGAATGACCAAAGGCATTGGGACTGGAACTATATCTCTAATGTGCTATCCACTCATGCTTGCCAAAAACTTGCCAATGTTCTTCCTCCTTCGGCCTTTGATGGTTTGGATAAGGTAATATGGAACAGCTCTAATGACCATCTCTGTTCTGTTAAATCCGTATATGACCTCATCCAATCTGATTTCCCTGGCCAAGTGGATCATGACTGGGAAGTGGTTTGGAAGTGGCATGGCCCTAACCGTATTAGATTCTTTCTCTGGCAAGTTAAAAATGAGACCCTCCTAACAAATTTGAGAAGGGTAGAACGCAAGTTGGCTACTTCAGATTCTTGTCCCAGATGCCAGTTACATGTCGAAAGCGTTTTGCATGTACTGAGAGACTGCTATTGGGCCAAATCAGTGTGGTCAAGCTTGTCTTCCCACCCTCGTAACCCTAGCTTCTTCGTCCACCCTCTCCAATCGTGGCTGAAGGATAATCTTCCGCTGATCACGTCATCACATGTTGACAAGTTTTATTCCCTTACTTTGGTGTTGCTTGCTAGTTTATCTGGAAGTGGAGAAATGAGCTCATTTTTAATGGTTGTAGTCCTAATTTAAGGGAAACAACTCTGTCAATTAAGAACTATGTTGGAAATGTCATCACTGCCCAACAACTCCTCTTGGCTGGTGGCCTCTCTCAGGGGAAAAAGACTCTCAAGGAGGTCAAATGGTTACACCCAAGCAATGGCTGGCTAAAAGTGAATGTCGACAGGTCATGTACCAATAATGGTCTACACTCTAGCTTTGGAGGAGTAATAAGGGATGATGCTGGAAGATGGGTCTTGGGCTTCTGTGGCAGACTTGGGCATGGCAACTCTCTTACTGCTGAACTTAGAGGTTTCCTGGAAGGAGTTCATCAAGCTAAAAACACAGGTTGCAGAAACATATGGGTGGAAGGAGACCCACTGGTTGCGGTTAACTTGATAAACAAAGGTTGCCATTGTTCACACCCCTTTGCTGGCACTGTTAGTAGAATTCAAAACCTCTTGCAAGATGATTGGAATGTTGTTGTAACTCATACTTTTAGAGAGGGTAACATGCTAGCGGATTGGTTAGACTCTTATGCCCATCATTTTGGTGATTGGGATGTTCACTTATTCACCGAACCTCCGGTTGGTTGTATGATTTTCTTAGGTAGAGATTCCATGGGCACTTCTTGCCCAAGGCTCTACAGATTGTAATTCTCGTTTTTCATTTCCATTATATTAAAAAAAAATATTATTATATTTATTTGATCTAAAAAACGAGTAAAAATATATGGCTGATCATAGTCAACTTCAGCGTATGTTCTATCTTGAGTATATATATGTCTAGCCAAAAAGATTAGTGAGTTTATCTTGGATCTAGGTGCTTGAGTATATCAGATCATTGTGCACAAATAATAACTGATGTGGGAGCACAATGACAACATAACAGTAAATAAAAAGAGAATAATCATACATGTAGGCTTTACCTCTTATTATTTACCTGTGAATTTTGGACATTTTGTGCATCTTCTATAAGCCCAAGCCCAAATTTGATGATGTCGTATTAGGATTAGTATCTTGAATTGATACTCTCCTTTGATTATATTGTTATCTTTATTTTTATTGTCTCTTATTGGGCTTTATATTAAATGAGCCTTATATATGAATCAACAACAACATATATCTGAATAAAAATTTGCCCATTCTTGCCAAGATATGCATCGATCATACGATTCACATCCTCATCGGCATTGATATCATTACCAATGTAGCACTTATTAGAAGTCTAATATCTAGCTATCAAGCGAGAAACACATTGATTACCTTGGAGCCCCAATTTTTGCTGAATTATCCTCTTGAGATGGTTGTATGTAGTGTTGCATTTGATTTGCATTGCTTTTACTTGCCCTTCAAAATTTTGACCATTAAGACCTTGAAAGTGCCTACTATTGTAGTAGACAATTGCAATATATATTTGGGAACTTGAGTTTTTCTTTGCAACATATTAGAATTTAGAGATTAGTTCAAATTTTTGCATAAAATTTCAAAGATTTAAGGGTAATGACAATGATTCGATAATGATATAAGCTTAGAAATAAGGGGTTTGATTTTCTCATATTCCATGAGAATTGAATTATCATATTATGACTCGACTAGTAGTGGACTCCACATTTATTAAAAAGATAAAAAGAAAAGAAAAGTTTTGCATGCAAATCGAAGGGTCACAGACATGAGAATTGAATTCTCATGCAACATGAGAAAATATTTTCCCTAGAAATAATGGGGTGAAAGTTAATAATTGGGTTGGAAGAAAGATGAAAAATAAGTGGGAGAAAATGATAAAAAATGGAATAAAAAGATTTCCTCTCTTATAAGCCTTTGCCAACAGTTATTGAAGTAACTAAACTAGTTATTATCGGTCAACAATAGTCAAACAAGAGCATATTGATATATAATTTTGGAAATAAAATAAAATTGATATATAATTTAAGAAAGGGGTAAAGTGATAATTTAAAAAAAAATGAAAGTCTTTTTGAGAGTTTAATTTAATTTATTTGAGTAAAATTATTATTATTATTTTTAAATAATATTGGTAAGGAAAAAATATTTATCCTTTTAAAGGATAGTCATTTTAGTTAAAATTAACATTTTCATTTAATATTTAAATTTAAAAAAATTATATTTTTTCTCACCATAATTTTTGTTTCTTTTAATATAAAGAGTAAATACCCTTTTTGGTCCTCAGCAAATTTCACGATGCCTGCTTTAGTCCCTAGCAAATAAAAAGGCTCATCGTGGTCCCTAAGAAATTCAAAATGGACCCATTTTAGTCCTTTTAGGGACTAATATGGGTCTTTTTTGAATTTGTGAAGGATCACGATTTCAACTAAAAGGGTCCATTTTGAATTCCTTAGGGACTACAATGGACCTTTTTATTTGCTAGGGACTAAAACGAGCATCGTGAAATTTGCTGAGGCAAAAAGGATATTTACTCTAATATAAAATATAATACTTTTAAATAAAATGACATAATTATATATCTTTTAAAATATAAACACTATATTAAAAAAAAAGGGTACAAACACTGATCCATGGTAAATAAAAGCTCGTGTTGGAATCAGTCTTGGACTTGTATAAAAGCTCGTTTAATAAAAAGGCCTCAGGCTCTAATTCAGAAGCTCGGCCTTAGGGCCTCCCAGGCTAGCCTAGTATATAAATATTTATTTATGCTTTTTATACTACTTGTAATAACTTTCTCTCATCAATTTATTTCACCCTATTTTATTGGTTTAATAGACTTTTTGAATGATTTTGTTCAATATTATGCTATTTGAATATATATTGAATTTATGTATATTTATGGAATTACTAGTGCTGTTCTATATTATCCTTCATCCTCCTTCACACAAACAAACCCACAAAAACTCATTCGTTCCACTGTGCACTGCTCGTTTGTGTCAATTTTTTTTTTATTATTTTTGTTGGCACTTTTTTTATAATGGGCTAAGATAATATGTTATCTACCTTCTCTCACTTTAATTTTTTTATTTATTGTAGACTTTGTAAATTATTGCTGCAAATTGGAAGCTAAGGTTTCTATCTGGAAATTGATTTTTTGTGGAATTCTGTTATATTATTTTTATTCTTTAACATGTTAAAAGGCTAAAACAGGCTTCACAGAGGCTTTTATTTTTTGTAAATAAACCAGGCCACAGGCCAATATTATATTCGTAACCGGTAACAGGCTAAGGCCAGTCGGACACGTTTAAATACAGACTTGACCCGTTAAGATCAAAGCTCGGCTCGGTCCGGCCCGTTAACACCCCTTCTCCTAATATACAAAAGTAGGAAACACGTACCGTCCCAAAATCATGGTCAGACCAACAGAGAACCAAAGGCGTCATAGGGTCACAGACGACACAGTCTTTGGTCGCATGCTTTGATTTTTTTTAACCGATAAAAGTTGGGGTTTTTTTCCGTTTATCGCTTAAAACATTTCTGTGTTGTCAAATACAGAATTTGGATCATTAACTGAGAAGAGATGGGTCGCAATGTACAAGCGACGTGCACACAGAACTGTCTATTGTTTCACGGAACAGCGAAACCCTCTCCTACCTCTTTCTTCAAGGTCATGGCTGATGACGACTATTTCAGAGTTTTGGTATGATAATAACCACTTATAATATGTGAAATACTTTATTTTTATTTTATTTTATTTGGGTATCAATGAGATACTCATTTTAGTTTTGGTGTTAGTTTAACAGTTAATGCTAATTTTTAATTAATAATTTCTGATTCTGTAACAATATACAAGTGAATTTATCTTTATATATTGACCATTGGTTTTGATCTTTTTTATATTTGTGAACTTATTTTGAAACTGCAGTATATACCTCCGAAGTTTAGTTCTACTGTATCACCCTTGGTTAATAAGAAAATCATTCTCAAGGATTCAAGTGGGCAACAATGGAATGTTACGGTATCAAATGTTGATGGTTCTTTTGCTTTTGGGGAAGGATGGAATGTTTTTTCAGTGGATCATGGCCTTAAAATTGGATATTTTCTGGTATTCAATTATATTAATGAATTGCACTTTGATGTCAAGATCTATGATAATTCTGGGTGTGAAAGGCTTGATTTTTCTACAAAAAGAAATCAGAAGAAACGAAGTAGGGACAAAGGTGGGAAGTTTGTTAGACAAGACCCAAATTCCTCAGTTTTCTCCAAGCAGGATGTGCCAAAAATGAAAAGCCAGCACAAGGGGGAGGATGATATAGGAGGAACAAGAAATAACAGAGAGAATATTTCGAAATATGATGGTAATAATGGAAGGGCCCAATCTGTGCGCATATCAGAACACTTTGAAGACCCAAGTCACATGACAAACAGAGAATTTGAAGACAAAAAAAGAGATGACCATACCTGTGGTGTTGATGGGACTGTGAAAATTACAACTGGTTCTCATGTAGTTAATGGATCCCATATATATCAAAATGATGCAACCAAATGTAATAATAAAGATCCTATCTTTGAAGGGGTATTGGGTACAGGAGGTACCTCAGATGCATCTGAATTTGAAATTTCTGGAAGAAATAATTCTCTTGGAGAGACAGATAAAAGCACATATGACAAGTCTTCTACCTTAAAACCTGATGAAAACAGAGAGAACAAATCCATTATGTCCAAGAGGAAAGTTCAGGAGTGCCATTTTGCCGAGGGCTTAGGTACTACAGTTAACAGAGTAGCTTTGTTTTCATTTCCAGTGACTTTTTAATTTGTTAAGCGATCAGATAAACACTCTACAGCTAACTTAGTTTGTTTCACACATTTATAGGGCTTCAGGCTTCTAGGTTTTTTTTGTGTGTACAATTCAGGCTTCTAGGTTTATTTCTTGTAATATGTGTAATGATTTCCTACTTTGGTTTTTTATTTTTTATTTTTATTGGTTCATTTCCAGAAAGTGAACAGGCAGCGATATCAAAAAAGAAACATGCTTTGCATATTGGTGGTTTTCAAAACACTAAACAGATGTTCGATGGGATCTCAAATCACTTAGGTGCTCATATTCACAATGATGTGTTTTCTCAGTTTATATATATTTTCTCGGAGGAGCCCCCTTGATATACATATACCTGAATCAATCAATCAATTATTATGATTACAGGTGAAATGAAGAAAGTGCCTGTGGAAATGACTCCCACATTGTGTAGTTTCAAGGATAAATTGATTGCAAAAGGTATTTTCTTTTCCACCACTTCTGTTTGAAATTTGTTACTCACTTTAAATCTCATTATTTGAGTTCCTGCTCTTGTTTGCAGTAATGTAAATTAACAGGTTCCAGTTTATATGTATTTTCTCAAAGGAGCTCCTTGATTTACCAGAATTAATCAATTAACTATTATGATTACAGGTGAACTATCTAAAAAGATTAAGAAAGAGCTTGTGACTTCCGATGTGTACAATAACAAGGATGAATTGGGAGCAACAGGTGTTGAATCCCCCCCAGCACACACACACATACAACACTTACTCAATTTCGATCTCATTATTTGTTTGTCATGCACGTCTCTGTCTCATTTTATGTACATTACCAGATTCTGTCTCATGGATAAATCTTTCGTGCGATTGTAGGAGGGTTGCCAAAGGTTATAAAGGAAGAGTGCGATCCCAGTTCTCACACGTTTAATCAAGATAATGGGAGTCACTTCAAAACAGCAACCACTTTCTCTTGTGTGGTGCCGGCTGACAGTGATTGTCTTGTACGATATTAACAAGCCCCGTTTGAGCTTGTGTTTATGCATTGTTATATAGTTTATGCTATAAATTGATTTTGCCTAACAAACTAGGACTGTGGGAGCTGAGATTATGGTTACAGTTTCTCAAGATAGGAAGAAATATGAGTTTCCTTTGTGGATAGCTACACACTTGCCTAGAGACAATTTGTTTTTTGAATGCTTGTAATTTCCCAAATGACAGAATGCCAAATTTTACTTCTCATTAAGTTTATCACTTTTTGTGGGACACCCGTTTTTATATGCTGTTGCTCATTCTTCTATTTGGGTTTTTGACCATTTGAACTTGTATTTACTGCAGAAATTGCCAGCACGCTTGCCTTTGTCTCGCAGGGGAAGAGTACAAATAGACAGGATGGTGGTGTTCCTTCGTGATCCACTGAGGAGATTGTGGCCGGTCCTTTACCATGAACAACCATTGTTCAAAATACTGACAAAAGGATGGTTACATTTTTGCAAAGCAAATAATATTCAACCAGAAGATATGTGTATTTTTGGGGTTGAGAACGAGTCTGAACATATCGTTGCCGTAGATATAGTCCACAAGTAATGTAAGTAGAGGCATGTGCAATGTTTGGGTTTTCTTTTGGTGTAAGTACACCATCATGTGCACAAGTAGAAAATACTAGTTTACATTCTAGACTCGGATGCTACAATAGCTTCGTATGAATGAAAACCTGAGTTTCTATTCTTAAATCTCATTAATATTATTTTGTTTTGTTTCAATGTAGTTGAATCAATCAGTAAATAACGTTTATGGATTTCTGGTTTCTGATTGAACTAGCTGCATTATTTCCATCGGCATCAAATCCTCTCAAATCAAGGATCCGATTAAGGATCCTTGATTAACGTCATTCACAATTTTCCTTGTAGTGCTAGTCTGCCATTGAATAGAGATGATTGTAATATGGATTCAAATTCTCAATTTTATTAGTCTTTATTTGGATGAGAAGAATGCATCGGGTACAAAAGATTTCAAACCTTACAGTACGTGGTCTTATGCCATGACCATGACTGTGGCCAAAGAGTAAGTTAATAAATATTGTTTTTATAAAGGAGATAGTGTATGATCTTGTACCATGACTGAGTTTATGACTTTCTGATCAAATATATCTATGGTTCTAAGTTGTTATAAAGGATATTAGTATTATTTTTTTGATTTGGTCTCTAATTTGTTTTTCTAAAATTGTTATTAGTTATTCATTTATGATTCAAAAATTGAATTTTAAAATTTATTCTATTATATATTTAAAGATTTGATGGTAAACATAAAAGGAATAAAGTTGTAATTTTTTTTTTAATTATAATTGTTACACTCTCCTTAACTTCCTATTATATAGTCATAATTCATTTTAAATACTTGTTATTTTTTATTTGTTTTAATAAAAAAAACAAAATGTAAATTGACAGCATATATTGCCCATCAATATACTATAATATGCTAAAAAAGATTTAATTGTCATTCATTGAGGGTGTTAAATGATTTTTATAACACTTTTATGCAATTTTTTTAATCATTAAAATACTTTGATTTAATACTGATTAATTGAGATGCCAAACTTTTTAATAACATAATTAAATAAGAGAGAGGTTATACTTATACTTTTTTTTTACTACTTGTTACTACCAAATCTTAATCGTTAATTTTTGTCAATTTAACGGTTATAATTTATTGGATCACATTTATTATTTAATTATTAATTCTAATAAATTATAATCGTTAGATTGACGGAAATCCATCGTTAATTTTTTTATGCTCCAACTTAAATAAATACAAACCACCCTCCCAACTCAGGAGGCTGCTATCATGCTAATAAAATAAATATACGATGACGACAGATGCTATTATATAGGTCTCTGAACTAGCGACCTATAAAATAGCATCTAAAATCTATAAACAAGGAGTTCTAAAACTAATACCATAAGTTCATAAATGATAACCAAAATTCTAATTACTCCACAACAATATCTCATATCATTTCCACTGTTGACTCAACACCTGCTGTAGCAGACACTTGGTTTTGTTCCTTGATCACCATTCTCCTCATCTTCCTTAACCAATTTATGGTGCTAGCACCATAGTCAAAGAGGCTAAGAGCAATGTAGAGACCAATCCCACCAATAATCCCATTTGCTATGGAATAAGTGAGAGGCATGAGTAGCATTATAGCAAAAGCAGGTACTGCATCCTTTATGTTGGTCCAATCTATGTCCTTCACAACCTTCATCATCATTACCCCAACAAGCACTAGTGAAGGTCCTATAGCCCATGGAGGAACACTAGCCAATAAGGGAGTGAAAAACAATGAGAAAAAGAAGAATAACCCAATGATCACAGCCGTTAATCCTGTTCTACCACCCTCTCTCATCCCAGCTGATGATTCTACAAATGTTGCTGTTGTTGTAACACCCAAAGCAGAACCCACAATGGTGCCAGCTGCATCAACCATGTAAGCCATGTATTCACCTTCAAAATTCCCTTTTTCATCAACAAAACCACCTATCTCTGCCATGGTGTACATGGTGCCAGTTATGGCTAGCACATCAACATAGAACAATGTAGCCAAGGCCTCCCAAACTTCTCTCCTGTTAAAATCACTGAACCTAAGAACCCCAGCAGTGGATTTAATCTTGTGAAAATCAACCACTTTCTTGAAATAGTTGTAATTTGCATCACCAAGTTGGGTATCAGGGAAATAAGTCACCTCTGTGTGCCTAAACCAAGACACAAGAGTTACAAAAACAATGCCATAAATCATGCTACCCTTGACATTCTTCATTAATCCATAACTTGTAATAAGGAAACCAACAAGGCCAAGCCAGAACTTTGGGTTTTGCAATTTTCCACCCAAGCATGCACCAGTTTCTGGGTCAGTGCTTTTGCAGGCCATGATGGTGACAAGATTGGAAGGATCAGGCCCAATAAGCCCAACACCCTGGTTAGCTTGCAAGCCCACAAAGGCAATGAAAAGCCCAATCCCAGCAGCAGAAGCAAGCCTAACTGAATGAGGTATGAGCTTAGCAAGCTTTCCCCTTAAGCCAAAAGCAGAAGCTAAAAGAAAAGCACATCCTTCAACACAAACCACAGCAAGTGCAGTTTGGAATGAGAGTGACCCACTTCCATGATAACCAACCAAGTTAAAAGCTAAATAAGCATTGGGTCCCATACCTGGAGCCAACCCTAAAGGAAGGTTGGCTAAGAGTCCCATAGCCACGGATGAAACCGTGGCTGTTACAGCAGTGGCTACAACCAAGTCATTCTTTGTCTTTGCAAGACAACTTTCATATCCAGCATTAGGCTTCAGCACACAGTCTGGACCCGCCGGAGCAGAGCAGTCTGCGGCGGAGCAGGTTCCTCCGGAGGCGGTGAGGATGGTGGCGTTGACAGTGATGATGTAAGCCATGGTGAGAAAAGTGGCAGTGGCAGCACGTAGTTCTGTTGTGAAGGAGGTTTTCCTTGCTTCTAATTTGAAGTATCTTCCAACAAAGCTCTTTGAAACTGCATCGTTTAAGGCTTTCTCCATTTTGGTCCATGAGTTTTTCAACCTTGAAACAAACCCACCTTCCATTCCACACAAATCTCTTCCCATCTTTTCTCTCTCTCTGTGTGTGTGTGTTTTGGAGTGTAGTGAGAGAATCGAATAGGTAGCTTGGTATAACGCTTGTAAGTTTATGATATGATGATTATGTAGTAAAGGGGAACAAAGAATCCATACAAGATTGTTTTTTTTTTTTTTATGTGGAGAAGGCAGAAGTGGGAATCATGAAGAAGTGAATATAGTGATGTTAACGTATGGAATGGTATGGAACGGAACGGAAATAGGAGTTATATATATGTATGAAGAACAACAGTGCAACTTTGAAAGTGGTTGATGATGCATTGCTTACCTGGCTATTTTTTTTTGTAGTTTTATATATATATATATATATATATATATATATATATATATATATATAGGGTTTATCATCTATCATTTAATATAATCACACAAAATTTTCTACACACAACATTTTGTGGGGCCCGCAGCAAAAAAAAAAAAAAAAACTTCGGCACGCAAAACGAATCTCTATAACATAACACAATCACTTTTCCTACAACATAACTCTTATAAAACTCATATATATATATATATATATATATATATATATATATATTTATATATAAACGGAAAAAGTTTGGTTAAAACTATACGTTACGAATATTACATAGTTATAATATTAAAGTTATATATTTTTTCAAACATCAACAAATAGTTTGATATTATAACGTTAACTATATACTACACATAATATATAATTATAATTACTAAAAAAACATAATCTTGTATTCTTTAAAAGGACATACACTAAATCCATAAACAAACTGCAAACTTTTATTTGCTTTTTGTATTTATATATTGTCGAATAAAATATAAGAAAATAATTAAAATTAATAAAACCTTTTTGTTAATGTTAATTTCCTTTATTGTTTGTTTTTGCCTTCATATTATTATGCTAACCCAATTACGTCGTTATTATCTTTCTTTTTTTGACGTCCCTGATCTATTTGACAATTTTCATGCTTATTCAGCTACGAAATTGATTACTATCTTTCCTTTTTTTTTTTTTTTAATGGAACTTGTCCTTATGTTACAGTGAATATGATATTATATATTTCCATACTTCTACAAATCATATATGCTTAAGTTATAAAAAATACTGTACAAAATTACTAGACACCACTGTCTTTAATTTTTTTATGATTTAAGTAATTATTACGATATCATAAAAGCATGGATTTGATGAATAGATGATGCAGTCAGTCCTTCAAGTTCAAACTTTTGGTCAACTTGTTTGATTTGATATATATATAAAATAGCATATAATTTATAATTACTTAGCCCCACAAAATTAATTACCCCAAATAAAATTTGTTAAATGAAAAAGTTAAATCATTTAATACTTTAAAAGGATTTGATGTTTTTTCAAGTAAGTAAAAGATTATTAGGCTAATTTCTTAGGAGAATAAAATCTATTTTTAAGTAAATACGTGTATATATGTTAAGGTTTTAATGTTTTTGTTTTTGCTCCAGAATTTTTTTCTATCATACTTCCATAAAAAGTGTACTTGAAAAAAAAAATTATGGGGCTCACTCACTTTTATGTAAGTGTATTTGAAAAAAAATTCTGTTATAAAAGCAAAAATATTTTCTCAGTACAAAATCTTAATTAGTCAATCAATTAAGTTTATTAAAAATCAATTCTTAAATTTCAAATATCTATTAAAGAGTGGAGATTAAAATTATTACCGAATTAGTGCATGCTTATTTGAGATTTCCCCCAACCTGAAAAGCTCAACAAAATTCTGTCTGACTGTGAATATAAGAGACATATTCCCAAGGGAATTGAATTGGACTGAATTAATTTTTTCTTCCCATAAACTATGCCTTTGCATTTTGGAGAGTTTAATATAAACAGAGCCAAAGTCTATCACAAAAGCGATACTAAAAAAAAGAAAAAAGTCTATCACAAAACATCAAATGAAACGACTATTTTAAAAGTTTTCACGCCAGAAATTAAACATTTTTTTTAAATCAACTCATTTTTTAGATATCAACGTATGTCCAAAATCCTAACGGATCCTACCAATCCAGGTTTGGATATGAAGTTCTCCATTTTTTCCTATGACTCTAACATATAATAATATATAAATATAAGATTTAATACTTCTTATATTGGAGGAGATAAATTTATTTACTAGACATAAGTTTGTGAGATTTATTTTTTCTTTTCACATGAGCCCCACACACTTTTATCAGTTTTATGTATGTAGGAGATAAACCTATATAAAAATATGTGGCCCATATGTTTTTCTTTTCTTTTCTTCTCACACGAGTTTCGTACACTTTTTATGTGTATATGAGAGATAAATTTATCTCCTATAATATGAGAAACATTAATCTCTAAAATATAAATACATAGATGAGGCAACGTACATGTTAAATGACAAGAGTATGATCAAGAATCGGGGAGAGTGACCATTTTGTCACACTTGGCAAAAAAATTTATCAGACTGCCACACCAACAGTAAATTTTGTCAAAATGACACGCAGCATATTTCGCTACACTGTGTAGCGAAATATGTTTGCATATAATTCGTTACACTGTGTAGCGAAATATGTCATGTCAGGCTGCACAGTCAGCAAAAATGACACGTGTCAAGCAGGTAGAGATTCGCTACACTGTGTAGCGAATGATGCTTGAATTCTGCCTGCTTGACACGTGTCATTTTTGCTGACTGTGTAGTCTGACATGACATATTTCGCTACACAGTATAGCGAATTATATGCAAACATATTTCGCTACACAGTTAGCGATATATGCCACGTGTCATTTTGGCAAAATTTACTGTTAACGTGACAGTCTGGTAAATTTTTTTGCCAGGCATGACAAAATAATCACTGTTCCCAAGAATCGAAGAGGAAACAGAACTTAGAGGAAGAGGAGTAGACGGGGAAAATGCCTTGAGTACAGGCGGGTATCCTGCGTCCAGCAACATAAAGTACTTTACCAATATGCAACCGCGCATGAAACCAAAAAAATAAAAACTGTGCTTAAAGGCATTAAAAATTGGTTGGGTATTCAGCCATTATGCCCATTCGAAAGTCGTAAAAATTGTTTAAGGGAAAGAAAGAAAAAATCATTAAAATCGTTTTTTATTTTTCTCAATCAAACATTTAATTCTGAATTATATAAGGCAATTCTCTATCTCTTTTTCTTTTCCTCGTAAATCATGGTTCATATAATTTATGGGTTCGCTTTTTCTGCAGTTATCTGCACTAAGTCAATACGACGTCATTTTGAGACGGAAATCATGATGTTTTTATAATTTTAATTTATTTTCGGATTATAATAGTCTTTTTATTTATAATTTTTTAAGATTTTAATACTAAAATAATGTCGTTTTGGGAATAAATGCAGATAACTTCTCTGCATTACTTGCAGAAACATTTCCCCCATAATTTATTATCTATCTTAGCTACAATTTAAATTGAAAGTTAGTACCCAGAGTGGTTAATCATTGTAAAAAAGTGAACTACATACGCCTTACATGCTGTTGAGATATATAGTCCCACATTGATTATGTGGGCAACTAATGTGGCATTTATAAGGCCTTGGGTGTTGGGTATGGCTCATACTTCACATGATGATGTTGGCCCTAATTGTCGGGGTCAGCAGAAAGGCAACTAATGTGGCATTTATAAGGCCTTGGGTGTTGGTTACGGAGGTTGTGCAAAGAGCTTGGCTTTGCACAAGGAGAGATGATCGTTGGGTGTGACAGTCAGAGTGCCATTTTCTTGGCTAAGAACCCAGGTTTCCATGCGAGGACCAAGCATATCGGCATACAGTACCACTTCATCAGAGAGAAGATTGAAGACAAGGTTGTATTGCTGGAGAAGGTTGACACAAAGGTCAACAATGCTGATTTTCTGACCAAGGCAGTGACTTCGGAGAAGTTTGAATGGTGTACAGATGCTTTGAGATTGAAGAAACATGTGAAGCATTCACCAAGTGGGAGAATGTTGGGTATGGCTCATACTTCACATGATGATGTTGGCCCTAATTGTCGGGGTCAGCAGAAAGGCAACTGGGGTCCCGCTCCCAGGTGAGCGGGCGGGGGTCCGGGGGGCAGCGCCCCCTGGCCCGTAGAGGCTAGGTAATGTTTAGGCCTCTGTTTCTATTGTAATTTTCTTAGCAGTTTGGGCTTGGGCCCATGAATAGCTGCTGTTAGGGTTTCTTGTAAGCCTATTTATATTTGCCTTGTAAACCGAGAGATTTGTAACGAGTGGCGGTGAGGTGAATATAATACAGACAAGCTGGACGTAGCCTATATTGGGTGAACCAGGGTAAATCATCGTGTCAATCTCTCTACTCTTATCTCTTTTTCTGTTTTCTCGATTCTGTGTGATTGTCGATTTCCAACATTGGGCACTCCTACCCTTTAAGCTAGCTTTTGGAGTGTTGTATCCCAAGGTTCTTTACATGGTATCAGAGCGATTCTCACGACCCCCCACTTTCAAGTGGAATTAAAAATTAAAAACAAAAAGCACAAAAGGTAAACCAAAAATTAGGCCTGTGCAATTCCACGCTTCTAGCCCAAAGGGCTCTTGCGTGAGGGGGCGTGTTGAGATATATAGTCTCACATTGATTATGTGGGCAACTAATGTGGCCTTCATAAGGCCTTGGACACTACTACCCTTTAAGCTAGCTTTTGGGGTGTTGTATCCCAAGGTTCTTTACACATGCAATACAGGGTTTTGAATTCTCCAAATTACATAAACAATTAAAAAGCAAAAAATCAAAGTTAGTGCCCTTCATAAATAAATTTATTCCCATTCACAATTTCGAGTTTGTAACAGGTAGATGCCACTCTTTATTATCAGTTTTAAGATACCCCTTATGATTGATTATATTATGTTCAAAAGTTGTCCCTCTTTCTCGTTACTTGTGAGATTCCACTTCTGCAGATAAAGTTTCAAGAATGTGTAAGCTAATTTTTGCCTTTAATTTTGTTCTAACTTGGGACCTTGGCTTCTGGCCACTAATAGAGGCAGAACATAGCCACGCGTGCCGCTGATACCAAAAATACCCGTTTTGGATTATTATCTTTGTTTTGTAAGGCAGCTTTGTAGCTCAAAGGCGTTATATAAAACTATAACCCTTGCATGCGCGAAGGGATTGAAGCTATTCTAGTACATATAATAGATACCTGTATAATATTTGTTTATGATCTTGACCCTTGGAGAGTGTAAAGACTGCGGTGGGTTCTTCTTTTGAGATACTCTGTAAGCCTTAAGAATTTTTTCAAAGAGCTTTAAATTTTGGCAGCACTTGAGAATGATTAAGAAATACGATTATGTTGCAGAAAATAAGGGCTTGTACTACTAGGCTCTTCTTTTTACGTGCTTCAGGTTTCGTTCCTCTTCATACTACCCATGCTATTGGTCACATTCACATGAATAAATGCTAAGTGGAGAGATCGTGTCATCATGAACTTGGCAACACAAACTGTTCCTACATTTGAGAACCAGTACTTGAGGTAATATTTTGTGATAAATAGTAATGATCATCAGAGATATACACACACCAACACATTCTCATCTTCAATATACTTCTTTGAGCATCGATAAATCAACCAATAAATTTTTTATCATTACATTAATTCTCAAAATCAAGGGTCAGTACCAATCATGATTTGATGATAAACACAGAAATATACAACAGCCAATACTCAAGTTAAAATTCAAGTGTAGACATGTATTCGATATACATGGAGAACAAGCGCAATGTGTCACGGATGTTAAAAGCAGTTGGACAACTGAATTAAGTACTCTCACATAAATTTGGCGCCGTACAAACTAATTAAACTCTCTTCTTTTCTATAGCGTATTTTGTATTTTTTTAAATATATAATATGAAATAGCAAATTTTGTATTTTTTTTTAAAATATAATATAAAACCATTAATATGATCTTATAACTTAAATTTTTGGATTGAAATATTTTTTTATATAATATCAAAGCCTCTTTGATAAAATGATTATGAATTTAATCTTTACCACCTCTATTTTATTATTAAATAATTATCATTTCTTAAATTTGTATATTATTGAATGATTTGTCCAACAGACTCTTATACGAGAGGATATATTAACTTTTTTTAATATAAAAGCATTAATGTAAATTTCACTTGGTTTTAGATTGAAATAATTCTTCTACACATTTTGGGAGGAAATTTGTGTGGCGTAGCTGTGAATTTTTGTTTTTGTTTTTGAGAGCGTAGCAGTGATTTTTTGTGTATGCATTTTTCCAATGATTACATGTAACATGATCATACGTGCACATTAACGGCATAAAACTCTTAGCATAACCTCCCCATATAATGACATCAAACTCGGCCAAAATTGCAAATTACATTCTCGATGGCACCCAAGCCTCGTACTAAATAAATTATCAATTTCTAGTTTTCTTCTTGCCTCTTTTCTTTGCACTAGTTTCAGGCCCCTCATCCTCTTCAGCTTTCTGCTCAGCTTCTAATAGAGCCAGCTGCAGTGTCCAAAGAAAAGAACTTAACAACTTAAAGAATATAGTCTACGGAAGAGAAAAAGAAAAAGAAAATAGTGATGGTGCAAATGGCTTTTAGGCATAAATTTGATGTACTCGTCTACAAATGTGTGCAAAAAAAAAAATATATATTACCTCGTCAAGAATAGGTTTAAGCTCCCTATACCGAGCTTCAGCAAGATCAAAACCATCCTTGCGAAGTTCCTATGACCCAAAGGAATTTTGCCACAAAGACATGAGGGGTTCATTAGCGTATAACTCTATATGAACACATGTATCAGTGCATAGAAAAAAGAAATAGGAAGAGGAACTGAAAATAGAGCTAGAGATGAATAAAAAAATTGATTTTATTCTATTCATTATGTTTCATTTCAAACAGGTAAAATACCATTTTAGGGCGTGCTTGTTCGAGAAGGTAAAAATTGACGAAATGCAAATTTCGAACAAAATTTCCACCCCCTTGAACAATCACTCCCTTAGTCTTTCTAGTGGTTGTTTTTCCTCTTTCTAAGATGTTTAATATTCATTCCCATAATTGACAATATTACGAAATGAGTTCTTGGATCCAAAATTGACAAATAAGTAATAGTAGCATTATCAAAATTGTTACCATGCATAACTAATGGCATAAATCAACAAAGTAAAATCAGCTAAAACCCAAATGTAATCAATAATAGGTTTTGTACTGCACGCATAAGTTGATTGCTAATACGAAATGATTAACAAACTGAACAGTTGCCTGGAACCTCCTAGGCAAATCTTAGCTCCAAAATATTGTTCTTTTTTAAAGGAATTTCCAAAACTTTACCACATTTACGAGGCAGCTGAAACTTGATCTTAGTGGAAAACAAAAGAAAATGGAAGCAATTTTACTGGCACATTTCATGGTGATATGAAAGTTCAACACTTCAACTAAATTTGAGCAACATATATTAAATTACCAGTCATTGCCACATAATCAGGTCAACAAATGCATAGACATACAAAATAAGAAAAAATAATCAATTTAAGAATTAAATCAAATGTTATTTGTAAGCAGATCAGACCAACATATTGCAATTTTTTGAACAAGGACTGGGCCAATTTGAACAGAGGAAAACAGGAAGACCAACTGAAGTCTCTCTGTTCCTCCTGAATATATAACAAGCAGAAGAAAGATTTAGCAGAAATATTGATATCTCGACAAAAGATAATTTGTAAGAAAAATATAAATATATATATTTATAGGAAAGCGGGAGACAGTCAAACTACTAAAGATCACATTATTTTACAAGGGAAATTATATGAGAATATAATAAAAGAAAGAGATGAGAGAACCTACTTTTCCAGTGTGTTGAGTATGTTCATGGGCTGCCATTTGCCAATACAAATTTGTTCGCTTATAGAAATCCCTCAACGACTCTCCTGGCTTTACAAGCAAAAAGAAATCAATTAAGAAAGCAGTGAGGTGAAGAAAAAGACTAATTGAAGCCCAGAGATACTTTTGCAGGCAAAAAGACAACCATACACAATCAACAAAGATAGTAGAGCTCATATGCAACAAAAAATTTAAAATTTTATATATCTACTAGCTTCAATCTATATTCTACGCTCTAAAGTGTCTTTAATAAATATTAACAAATTACCAATGGTGTTCTCTGTGAATCTGACAAGCCAAGGCTTGCTCTGATTTGCTCTATCCGTGACCTCCTTTCTTTCCTCCGCAGATTCCTTCCCCCTCCCTTGATTAAAGCAACAGCATCTCCTACCTGATCTGATGCATTCTGAACCTAGTGACCAAAAAGTAAAAGCCAAATCAATGATGCAGGAAGAATCTTCCTTCAGGGGAAAACAAACTGCCTGCTTACAGAGAGTTGATCATACATATCATTGAAGATGATGCGTGTGGAATTAGGAAAATACCTAAGAAATGCTTAATATCTATCATGGATTATTATAACTTTGGGCAAGGGAAAATATCATGTTTCAAGTTTTTGGTTCAGTTGGATATAAAACCATTCATGTGTGCTTTCACCTAATAGCTTAGGCTATTGAGATAGATAGTTTAAGATATGGTATTAGAGCCTCTATGACTAAATGATTAGGAGTTTGATCCTTGCTGACCCCATTCCTCAAAATATAAGTTAAATTTCAGCAGAAATAGGCTTATGCATTGTATGAGGGGACATATTAGATATAAAACCATTCGTTGTGCTTTCACCTTGTCAGAATACCCATTCCTCATCTTCATTATTTGCTTTATGTATAATTGAGGCATGGGTTTCCATTCCAGCATGGATTTCCATGTTAGTATAGGTCTCCATGCTTTTCTTTATTAAAGTGTCTGTACATTATTGCTGAGTGTATTGATTATAAATACCATAGAGCTTCAGAGAGTTCTCTAAGCTATTCTAATGATTCTTTCTTCATGGTATCAAGAGCAAGGTTCATTCAGGAACCAGAACCAACGTACAGGTTCACCAACTTAGTCCATTCAAAAGCTTAAACACTCCCAGGTTCACCAACATACCTCAAAACCACTGTGAATCAAGATGGAAACACTCCCAGTCAACCCAGAAAATTCCGACGACCCGATCTGGAGCTCCCCGCCGGCAGAAACTTCCTCACGCGCCGCCACAGTCCGAGCGCGTGAAGCCCACGCGCAGCCCAGTTCCGAGCGCGTGAAGGCCACGCGCCGCCTTCCACTGCTCGTCTCCGTTCGCTGTGCTCGCCTCAGTCTCCTCTTTCTGTTCCAGTACTGAGTTGCTCCATTCTGGTTTGTTTCAATAGTGTATTATCCAAATCCACTTCTTATTGTTTGTTGTTCAATCCACTTCTGTTCCACTACTGTGTTTCTGCCTTGTTTTGTGCGATTTGGTTCTGTCTTTTAGCTATATTGGAGTAAATATGGCTTCAAATGATGAAGATTCTTCTGGTCCCAAAACTCCTCTCTCACCTAAAGATCCTGTTTCATCCGAAGTTACCAATCCGGTACGTCATGCTCCAGTTGCTTATGCTTTTTCAGGTTCACCAACAATTACATCTGAAAAGTTAAATAGTAAGAACTATTGGTTGGTCCTCTTCTGTTGAGTTGTGGTTTCTTGGTCAAGGTCTCTCAGACTATCTTGAAAAGTCAATTTCTGATATTCCTCAAATAGAACGAAGTCAATAGGAAAGGTTTGACTATCAGTTATGTGCTTTGCTATGGCAATCTGTGGAACCCACAATTTTAATTAATTTTCGCACTTTTAAAACAGTTAGAATATTAGATATGATATGATTAGATATGATTAGATATGATTGGATTCCGTCTTATCCGTAAATATTCTGACTGTATTCTGACTGTATTAGGATTAGGTTTGGGCCTTTCACTTAAGCCCATTAGGGTCTCTATATATTGTAACTCTCTGACACAGATCAATACACAACATATTATTCTTCTATTATTTTATATTCAAGTTGGTATCAGAGCTCTTTCGTTCTGGGAACCCTCGCTTCCGCTTAGAAACCTTGTTTTTTGCTTTAAAACCTAAGCCCACTGCTTAGGAGTCCTCTTTCTTGCCGTGCGTCCTTCCGGCAAGCCTTCTAGGGCTGTAAACAGCCTCTGAGTGATTTTTCCAAACGCGTCAGCACCTCCGACGGCCACCGGAACCACCGCTCGCCGTCAGAATCACTGTTCAGGCAACCGGAGACTTTTTCCGGCGACTTTTCCGACCAAACTTCACGCGATCAGGACCCTCTCTTCCCGGCGACCAGGTCTGTGGTGGTCCGGTCAGCAACGCATCTCCCACGCGCCTTCACGCGCCACCTGTCTTCTCTGCGCGTAGGCTTCACGCGCCACCTTCTGCCGGCGCGTGAGCACTATTCCAACGGCTTTTTCCGGCCGGTCTTGGACAGAGAAGCTCGCCTTCTCCTCCCCTTTCTGGATCTGTGATTGTTTCTCTGTGGGTCTGACCTTAGACGCGTGGTTCTTCTTGATTGGATATCGTTTGCCTTCGTTTACGGCTTTTATATTTTATCTTTAAATGGCAGCAGCATCTCCTGATCTCTCGGAGGTTAACTCTCCTTATATTGTTGCAAATATAGCTCAGTCAGACAATGCATCATTTGGTTCAGGTTCGGACTATGCTGCACTCCAAACCCCTCTCAGGAAGGCTTCTCCTCAGTCTCAGCCTTATACTGGTAATCCTGTTGCTCGTGTTTCTCATTCTACATCACTTGGCTCTTGGATATTTGACTCCGGTGCTACCGATCATCTCTGTGGTAATAAGGAACTCTTTACATCTCTTACTTATTCTGATCATTTACCGTCTTTTACCCTTGCGGATGGAACCAAAGCCCCAGTTCGTGGGATTGGACAAGCTCGTCCGACCTCTACCTTGGCCCTGACATCTGTCTATTACATTCCTGGCATCCCTTATAACTTAATTTCTATTAGTAAGTTGATCCACTCCTTCGCTTGCACCATTACTTTCTCTAACCATTCTGTTTCTGTGCAGGATCCGGGTACGGGGAAAATGATTGGAGTGGGTCGTGAGTCACGGGGGCTTTATTATCTGGATGTGCCTCGTCCTTCAGTAGCATGCTCTCTCACAGAATCTCCACAACTTATCCACAGTCGCCTTGGTCATCCAAGTCTTTCAAAGTTGCAGAAAATGGTTCCTCTTTTGTCCGGTCTTCAGTCTTTAGATTGTGTGTCATGTCAACAAGGGAAGCATACACGCTCCTCTTTTGCCAGTCGAGTCAATAAACGAGCTGATGCCCCTTTCTCTCTTGTTCATTCAGATATCTGGGGTCCAAGTCATACCTTGTCTGTCTTAGGTTTTCGGTATTTCGTTACCTTTATTGATGATTTTTCCCGTTGCACTTGGACCTATTTAATGAAAAATCGTTCCGAGCTATTTTCCATTTATAAAAAGTTTTCTACTGAGATCCACACTCAATTTGGTGTTTCTATTCGTATTCTACGTAGTGATAATGCTAAGGAATATGTTTCTATTGATTTTTCTAATTTCTTGGCCACACAAGGTACTTTACATCAAACTACTTGTCCTCACACTCCACAACAAAATGGGGTGGCTGAACGTAAAAACAGACATCTCATTGAAACTGCCCGTACCCTTCTTATTCATATGCAGGTTCCCCTTCACTTCTGGGCAGATGCTGTACTCATCTCTTGTTTTCTCATCAATCGCATGCCTTCATCTGTGCTCCACAATGACATTCCTCATAATCTATTGCTTCCAGATGTTCCTCTTTATCCTCTAACTCCACATGTCTTTGGTTGTACTTGTTTTGTTCATGATCTCACTCCTGGTAAGGATAAGTTAACATCCAAGGCCTTTCAGTGTATCTTTCTTGGTTATTCTCGTCTTCAAAAGGGTTATCGTTGTTATTCTCCCGACCTTAAGCGTTACTTAGTTTCCGCTGATGTCACTTTTCTTGATCAACAACCCTTTAATTCTATCCCATCTCAGATGTCACAAGTTGATCATGTACTTCCTGTCCCTTTTCTTGACTTGTCTTTGCCAGCTGCAGGTGCTTCTATTCCAGATGAGCAACCTATTACTTCTATACCTGAGGACCGTCCACTTCTCACCTATCAGCGTCGCAAAACTGTGCCTCCTGTCGACTCAACTCTTGCTGACTCATCGCCCACTGCTGTTGCTTCTTCCCCTCCGGATCCTTCATCAGAGACTCTTCCCATTGCTCAAAGAAAAGGTACACGTACTACTCGTAACCCTTATCCTCTTTATACCTTTTTGAGTTATGACCGTCTTTCTTCACCTCATTTCACCTTTGTTTCTAGTCTTTCTTCTATTTCTATTCCTAAGACCACAGGTGAAGCACTTTCCCATCCAGGGTGGCGCCAAGCAATGCTTGATGAGATGACTGCACTTCATTCCAATGGCACTTGGGACCTTGTTTCTGCTCCTCCAGAGAAGTCTATAGTTGGTTGTCGCTGGGTTTTTACTGTGAAAGTTGGACCTGATGGCCATATTGATCGTCTCAAGGCACGTTTAGTTGCCAAGGGTTTTACTCAAATCTTTGGCCTTGATTATAGCGATACATTTTCTCCGGTCGCTAAGATGGCGTCAGTCCGCCTCTTTCTTGCCCTTGCTGCTGTTCGTCACTGGCCACTCCTTCAACTTGACATCAAAAATGCCTTTCTTCATGGTGATTTACAAGAAGAAGTTTACATGGAGCAACCACCTGGTTTTGTTGCTCAGGGGGAGTCTGGAAAGGTGTGTCGTCTTCGGAAATCCTTATATGGTCTCAAGCAGTCTCCTCGAGCATGGTTCAGTCGCTTCAGTTCTGCTGTTCAGGCGTTTGGCTTAATCCGCAGTAAAGTTGACCATTCTGTGTTTTATAGGATTACATCTCCTGATAAGTGTATCTATTTGTTAGTCTATGTTGACGACATTATTCTCACCGGAAGTGATCAAGACGGAATTCGTCAGTTAAAACAGCATTTGTTTAGTACATTTCAAACAAAGGACCTTGGGAAGCTGCGTTACTTCTTGGGAATTGAGGTGGCGCAATCTAGACAGGGCATTTCTATCTGTCAAAGGAAATATGCCCTGGATATCCTAGAAGAAACTGGTATGTTGGGGAGTAAACCAGTTGATACACCTATGGATCCTAATGTCAAGTTATTGCCCGGACAGGGGGAGCCGTTATCTGATCCTGGACGTTATCGGAGGCTAATTGGGAAGCTCAACTATCTTACTGTGACTAGGCCAGATATTTCTTTCGCTGTTAGTACGGCTAGTCAGTTTCTTGATTCCCC